TCCTAGTTAAAAATCCTTGCTTAAAAAATATGAATAAAATTGAAATTTTAGACGATTCATATCTAATGAACTTTTTTTCCAGCATTATTAACCTTGTCTCTGATAAATTTACAACATTTAAAGGGAAAATTGAATTAGATGGAGAGTTAATTCAAGATGGAGGACACAAAAAAAAAAAAATGGAATTTGTAGGCTTTAATGCCAAAACTTTTCGCAATTTCTTCGCAACTGTGGATGTAAAATCGGATGCTTCTGATTAGTATTTCTCAGGAAAACCATTTTACGTAGAAACAATTTCAAAGAAATAAAAAGATCAAAAAAGGGTAGTGGTGTTACCCTACTAAAAAGATAAATAAATATAGTGACGGTATAAATTGTTACATACCAAGCGATGGATACTGCTTTGTAAAGTGCGTAAATTGTGTTTTGAACAAAGACTACACAAAAGAATTTCAAGATTTCATCAACAGTTTTTCAAAATCAAACAGAAAAGGAGTTATGAGAACTGCTAGAATCTGTGAATTCAATAAGAAATTTAATACTAATTTTCAAATTTATGTGCCCAAACATAGACATTTTCAACCAAAGAAAGTATCCGAGGAATTAGATTGGGTATTTTACTTACATAAATCACATTTCTGTCTCATTAGAAGAAATAACAAAACCTTAGGCATTAAAGAAATAGAAGATAATTACGATGAAAACGTATGGAAAACTTGTAAAGATCATAATGCGGTAACACAAGTTTCACCTCTAAAACTAAACTTTTTTCCAACAATTCACGATGATTGTTTATACGCATGGGATTGCGAAACCTATAGCGAAAAAGAAACGAATAAAGCCATTCCTTATTTTTGCACGTTAATTAATTTAGAAAAACGAAGAGAAATGTTATACAGAATAAAACATAACTTTCCAGATTTAAATCCCACTGATAGTGTATCAGAAGAATTTTATAATAAATTAATGAATATATTAGAAATATTTGTGGGTAAAGATTGCATCGATCAAATGTTGCAACGTTTAGGAAAAATAGATCAAACATTAATTTCTCATAACGGTAGCGGTTTTGATAACTGGATCGTGCTTAAAAATGCGAAAAAACTAACGCAATGTCCACTAGTAACAGCTAGAGGCATTCATGGGGAAATTCATCTAATCTACCGATGAATTTGAGAAAGATCACCGATAGTAATATTGCAAAATACACCGAAGATAATTGGGAATCTTTAAGACACGAATGGGAACCTTACGCTCAAAGAGATACGTTATGTCTCGGAGCTTGTTTGATAAAATATAACAAAGTTATGCAAGTAGTTGTATTCCAGAATATTTCCAATAATCTAACGGCTCCTTATTTATCTTTAAAGGGTTGGTATTATTTATCTCATTACAATAAATAAATGGTAGAAGAAGAATGGTATGAAAGTACTAGAATGGTTCCGAAACACACCAAAAAAGAAAACGTAGAAAAAGTTTACTCACATACACATCCTTTGATAAGATATTTTATCCATTAAAGGATGAAGAGTTTCGGCAAATCGGAAATCATTTGAAACGAATAAAATGGATGAAATTTGTAATGTATTAAAGGAATACAGTGAAACACCAAGTGATAATATAATTGATTTATTTAAAGAATATAGTGAAAGTAAAAAAGATAAAACGGAAGTTAATTCAAAACTTAAAAAAATAAAATGTACTAAACTAATGGCCTTTGATGCTAACGGTTTATACGCTTCAGCAATGTCAGATTTAGACAGCGAATATCCTAAAGCGGAAAGCGCCAGAGCCTTTCAACCGAAAAAAGAAGAAGAAGAATTTCAGACCTAGAACGGCTATTTTGAAAGTCTGGTTTAAATATCCTACTAACATGTTCTTCCAACCCATACCAGCTAAAGATAAAATTACTTTTACGAACAAAGAAGGTAATAAGGAAACTGGCACTAAAATCAGGTTCAGAAATGGTTTCTGTTCAGACGTTTTAACATCGGTCGATATTCAAGAAATAGTTAAAGCCGGTGGACGAATTATTGGAATATTAGATGGTATAGTATACGAAGAACATTTTAAAACTCCACCATATAGAGATTATATGTTAATTTTGAGAGATCTAAGAAATAAATATAAACGAGAAGATAATATCGTAGGTAGTAATTGCATGAAATTATTAGGTAATTCATTGTATGGTAAATCTATTCAGAAGGATATAACTACATCGAGACATCTATGGAGTGAAGTAACTTTAAAAACCAACTTCGATTCACACGTCAAAAGCTTTCCTAAAGGAAATGGGACTCAATATATCGTTGAGATAAATGAAGAATAAAAAAAAATTTAACTGTACACCTCCTAAATCTACACGACTAACACCTAGTCATTTGGGGTCATTCGTATTATCTCACAGTAAAAATGGTTTCTCTATAATTCTATATCCAATCGGTACAGTGAATGTTGGAAGACTGCAAATAATCTGACGTTTGTATTTATTGAAAAACCACCGTTTATCAAATTGCAATGTATATTTATAACATCGATATCATTCTCGATATTAGCTTTGTGTGGTGCTAAAGTGGATTGCGTGTGTATTTGTTTATCAATGAATTTACTTCGTTGAAATCAACTTGACTATTATTTCTTAATCTTTATTTTGTTCAGATTCAAATTACCTTCGAATTCAATATTGTTTTTACCATTTACACTTCTTCCATATTCATATAGGTATTCGTTAATGGCTACGCATTCGTATCTTCCTGGTAGTAAACGTATGGTTTTGAATGTAACCATTCCTCGACACTTGAAAAAGGATAATATTTCGAAAACCGGTTTGTGTCAATTGCGTAAGTTTTTGTTTTACTTGTTATAATTTTTCACATCATTGTTAGCTTTCGGGGAAGGGAGGGTTTAATTCTCCCAAATGCACAGGCCTAGGGTGGAGCAGACACTTTATTTAGAAATTAGGATTAAGGGTCTTGATATTGGGTTTTCTTCTGTTCTTATTCTGATCTGAAATCAGAAAAAATAACTCGTCCGATGGGCGAGAAGTATAGTATCTGTTATGTACTGATTGTTTTTAGTTTACTATGAACAATATTATCATTTAAGTTCTTATTTTTTGAATATGCAACTATCATTTTCTGCTTATAGACATGGGGGAATTTCTCTTGAAGGCTCTTATAGTGGGCATGAACTATCTTGCTTGCTCGATTGCTGGTTGTATTAAACGGGACAACAAAGGGTGCTATGCCTACATTATGATGAATATTTAGTCCTATAGGTCTTGCTGTATTCAATGTTTCAATCCAATGGGTCTCCCTAGATTGACGGAATTTAGTAGTTTCATCTTCAATTTCTATACGCTCAATTGGGATTAGGGTGAGATCGTCTATTGAATGGTCGTCGAGGTTGAAATGATTAGAAACAGGCTTGTCTTTCTTTAATTTGATGTCTGACCTATGAGCATTAGAGCGAGTTCGTAAATTATTCTTAGTTTCTCCTACATATTGTTTGGGGCATTTCTTGCATGAAATTAAATATATTACATTCGTATGTTCGCATGTTAGATGTTCCTGGATCGGGTACCTTTTATTCGTAGAGTTGCTTACAAAATAATGAGTTTCTGATATAAAGGGACATGTTTTGCATCTACTGGACAAACATGGAGCACTTCTTAAACCTGGAGGTACTTCGGCATAAAGTCTGTTTTTAGCTGCTATCTGTGCTAAGGTGGAATTTTTTATGTTTCGTAAAAATCGTTTAGAGTACCCACGCTCTTTCAGTTTTGAGAAAACAATCGTACAGGCTTGGTTGAAATCAGAAGATCTTGTACAAATTCGATGAAATCGTAAAACTTGTGACTTAATTATACCAGAAAAAATATGTTTTGGGTGAAAGGAGCTCTTGTGCAAGAGTTGATGAGCATCAGTTTCTTTGAAATACACTTTAATATCCAGTTTATTTGTTTCTGCTATGGAATCTCCCTTAAAGACTGTGGTATCGAGAAAGTCTATGCTTTTGTCACTCACGTTTGCGGTTAGTTTGATAGAAGGATGGTGGTTGTTGAGAATTTCAAAGAATTCCCAAAACTGTTCGATAGAATAAGTCCAAACCATAAAAATGTCATCCAAAAAGCGTCCATAAAAAAGTGGGTCAAATGGACAGAGGGGCAACACCTCACGTTCCCACTCTGCCATGAAAAGGTTTGCGTACGAAGGGGCGAATCGTTTGCCCATTGCTGTCCCTGAAGTTTGTAAATATGTTTTACCATTTCATGTGAAATCGTTTCGACTAAGACAAATCTCTGAAAGCTGTAGAATTGCATCGTCGGGTCTGTTTGGATCTGGGTTTCTATTAAAAGCTTTACGAACTGCCGTTAAACCAGTAGTGTTATCGATATTGGTATACATAGAAGAAACGTCGATAGAAATTAAAATAGCATTAGAGGGAACTCGAAGATTTTTTATTTTATTGACAAAATCGGTTGTGTCTTTAAGGTAGGCGCGATGTTGGCATGCTAGAGGTAGTAAGAAATGATCAATGTATTCTGACACTGCATATGACTCACTACCACAGTCAGATATAATCGGGCGGCCTTTAGGGATTTTATTCGAGATAA